CTCCCCGCTGCTGTGCAGGCGGCTGCTGGCCTCAGGCGGAGCCTCCGCAAGCGCTCGGCGTAGCGCCCTATGCCAGTGCCGGGAGGAGGGCGGCGGCTGGGGCGTACCGCGATGGTGAATCGCGGGGAGGCAGCGTGCACGTGGCGTGTGTTTACAAACACAGCTGGGAGGTGCCCCTGCTTACCCCAGCCAGGCACAGCCCGCGGAGGGGGGGCCCCACAGCTGCAAACAATGAGGCGGGCCCGGAGGAGAAGGAAGGGGCCGCGTTAGGGCTGGGAAGCACCTTGAGGAGCAGCAGCAGCAGCAGCAGCGGCGGCTTCTTTCCCGTTGCGACGCAGGTACAAGGCGGAGGCCGGAGCTGCTGCGCTCCTAGCGGGGGTCGCCCTCTAGCGCCTGCATGCGAGTGCGGCGCCGGGCAGCGGGGACTGGCCGCGGAGGAGCCGCAGCGGCGGCTGGAGGGCTCTGGGGGAGAGGAGTGACACCCCTGGCTGCTGTGACTCCCAGCCCCCCCGGCGGGAGCCCCTGGCTTTGTGCCGGGGGGGGGCGAGAAGAGAAAGGGGGGGCAGCTCAGCCCCCGCCCCGGCCTGCCCCTGCCTTTCCGGGGAGAACAGCGCCTCGCTCCTGCGCAGCTGCCGGGAGATGTGGCGGGGGAGCCCCGCTAGGATCTCGCCTCCCTTGGTGGCGGTGGGGGGTCGGGTGCCCGCCTGCCTTCGCCCTCGGTCTGGCTGGGTGCAGATCTGTGCGTGGCGCCGCCTCCGGCCACTGGCCAATGGCTCTTGGCAGCGCCCCGGCTGGGACACAAACAGCTCCGCCGCCTGTAGAGCTGTTGCTAAGCCCTGCTACACCCTCGTCCTCAGCAGTCACCCCTAATCGGGGGGCTCGACTTCGCGGCCCTCCACCTCAATGTGAGCCATTAGTCAACCTTGGAAGCAGCTGCTGGCAGGATGGCCCCAGAACTAGTGGCAAAGCTGTGAAAGTGCCCTGGGAGCCATGACTCTCAGCTCTGTGCTCTAACCACTGCCCAAACTGAGAGGTACTAGTCCAAACAGCCCTCTGTGCTCTTTTGGTTCCCTGCAGTCCATGTTCCTATATGCTACCTTATATACCATTCATTTACCTAGTATTGCTATTGTAACCCGAGTTGGGGGCACAATTCTTGAAGTTGTATTTAGTTCTCTTCTTGGGCAACTGGTTTGGTCTGAACAGTTTCAGAAGGGTAGCCATGTTAGTCTGTTTCAACAAAACAACAGCAACAAGAAGTAAGTCCTGTGGCATCTTAAAGACTAGCAGATTTATTTGGGCATAAGCTTTCCTGGGTTGGAGCCCACGTCATCATTTGACTTCACGCATCTGACAAAGTGGGCTCCAGTCCTGAGGTCTCTTCCAGCTCTATGATTCTATGATATGCCCAAATAAATTTGTTAGTCAAACAAGTGCTGTAGTGCAGTGGCTTTGTCATGGAAGTACAACTTACAAATGTAGAATTTTTTTACATGCTAAAACAGTTAACTAGTTAAACAGTAGCACATAACTGGTTAACCATATTAATCTAAGTCCTACCTTTTTGCCTAGCCTCAGCCATTGGGCTCCTCTGCAGCTGTGATGTCCTGCTACTGGCTCTGTCACAGTCATGGGGTCCCTCTACCCAGTCCACCAGCCCCTCTGCTGCCAGAGTTAGTGAGCATGAGTGGTTAACTGGTAAGCATACCAGTAAGCCTCATGCACTTTTGGTTAGGGCCCTACCAAATTCGTGGACCATTCTGGTGAATTTCATGTCCAGAGGTTTTTAAAATTAGTCACTTTCACAATTTCAGATGTTTACATTGAAATTTCACATTATTGTAACTTGAGTTCCAACCCAAAATGGGATAATGGATGTTCAGAAGTTGTGGGGAGGGAATCTCAGGATTGCCACCTTTACTTCTGAAGAACATTCAGACCTGGGCTCTGAAAGTCACAGCCAACACCCTTCCTGAACTAGAGGAGGTTTCCCAGAGGTGGCATTTAAGTTAGGGATGTGAACTGGTAACCAATTAATCACTTCATGGGTGATGCTTACGGGGTAACAGTTAATCATTACCCAGGAGCAGCTAATGTCAACTGTCTTTTAGTTTTCTATTTTCTTTAAAGAATTATGGGACTCAGTGGATTTGAATCAACATCCTCCTATTTCATTCCCCTCCTTAAGCCACTAATGTGCTTTTCACAAAAATTACACAGAACTGTGTTCTTCTTAACCTTCATTTTACTAATACAGGAGAAACCAGACAATGTGTCTCAACTACACTATGATATCTCTTGTTAAGCCACGGTAGTATTTTTTGGCTCTCTTACTATGTTTTCTAACACCATGGCTTAACAAGGGATGTCATAGTGTAGTTGACTACATGCTTAACTGATAGGCCTGTGCTTATTGGTTAATCCCATCAACTACAGGTGCTCCCCACACTTTCTGCTTCTGCCTGACCAAAGGCCTATATATTTCCCCTGTTATGCAATTCAGGAAGGGTATCATGTTTGTAAATAGCTACTTAATTATTTTGTTGCCAAAATTTGAAAAGGGATTTTTGCATTTACTACTTTGAATTGAGTGGCAACTGCAGTTTGTTAGGCTAAAATGTTAGGGAGCAGTTATAGTGATACAGAGGGAGTGACGTATATAGTATGTACTCTGTGTGGAATGCATTTTGTTTTGAAAAATGAGCAGTGTTTCAGAAAATTGAAAAGTTGTGTCTTGGTTAGTATTGTCCTGTGGAGCCTTCACAAAGGGATTTGTTCCACCTCAAAGTATATTTGAGTTTTCTAGCAGGCATTAAATCAGAAATGGGAATAATGACACTAGTGAGGCAGAGTCACTGAGTGGCAGCCTCTATGTGAGGGGAGATTAGCCTCAGGGTGATGTTCCTCTGTAGGACACATCAGCTGTAAATTTTTGGGTTAAATCTTTGGACTGCTGGCATGTAATAAATGCCTGGTAATTGATTGAGATGTTAAAGACTTAAGTACCAGGTCACATGACTCCTCCAGACTGCTAATAAAGGACTCCTTGGAATCAGATTTCAACTGCAGGGGCTGATCCCAGCCATGTGTATTGAGTCTAAGAAGAAAAAGCTAACTTCTCAGTGATTCATCCAATAAAATAAGAATTCTTTAGCAATTTTTTAATATTTTTGTCTGTCTTCCTGGACTTAAAGGCTTTCATGGCATGAAATCTTAGTAGCCTTCTGTACTCTGCTTAATGCTTTCATCTCATCTTCATCGTCCAGACACTTCCTGAAAGAATGGGGGCAGGCGCATTAGCCATCTGTGTAAGTACAGGCTGTCTGTTGTATGCTGTGATTAGTTCAAGTGGGCTGAGGTAGGCCTCTTCCAACCACTAGTTTATTAAACTGCATAAACTTAACAGTGTGCAACTCCAGGGAAAGGAATTGTAGATTATCAACATGTCTGAGTCTGGATGACTTACTTTTTAATCTTGCAAAATCTAAACTAACCATCCACTATGGATCTGTTCAGGATTTTCTTCTTCTGCTCCATCCAAAATATTCTTGCACTGTGAGGCATAGTTATTTGCATGGAGGGAGAGGGGAGAAGTGGTAAGTGAGTATTGCTTAGCTTCTCTCACTTTTACTCCGAATTGAAATACAGGCTTTCTCTCCTGTTTGTATTGGACACCTAGTCAAGGTTGTTACAATGGGAACACAATACATATACTAGAGCTGGCATGCTTTTAGTTAATTCAGGAAACTGAAATGGTATGATTGGTATTTTTCCTCTCTTTTGTCTTTGATCCTAGCCTTTTCATTTTATTTTATGCTTAGATGAAATGTTTCCCCTTCAAAACAGTGTCTAGTGATGGTGAAATTTAGATTTACAGTTGGTCTGTGATTAAAAAATTGTCCCATGTAGTTAAAGATAATTAGCAATTTGAAAAGAGAAAAAGTTAAAGTTGCAGAAGTGTGGCTAGTCTTCTAATATTCAAGGTGCTGTCTTGTGTGTACACTCTGCAATGCTATTAAGCAAAAATGGTTAAGTGCCCTAAACTTTCATAGCTTTATCTAAAAAAAAGCAACTGATTAGTGAGATTTACTGTATTTTCAAAAAGGGGACAAGTATAACCATATTTTGATTATTTTTTCCCCCAACTCAGATTAGATAGAATTATGTTTGCTGCTCAGAGATTGCCACAGAGAATGCATTAGTATTTTACAAGTTTGGGGCTTATGTAGAACAGTGTTTCAAGATCCTCTGATGGTAGGTGCTATAAAAATGTGAATTATTTATTACTTGTCTAGTCTTTATAACCTAATCTTTGCTTGGCATATAACTTAAATGAAAACAGTTTATGGTAGTCACTTATAATTCTCATAAGAAATATTTTTAAAATGATATCTTGGTGGAAGCTGGAGTTTGAACATATTTATTTATCATATGTATTTATAAGGTGATCATTACAATGCATTTTTTTTAATTACATGGACTTGTACTCTTTCTCAAATAATATTTGAGATATTTATAACTTGTTCTATAGCCTTAGATACACAAGTCACATCTTCTATATACGTCAGACAAACACAGTCCAGGAACGTAACAGATAAGATTAGGTTGCTAAGTCCTGATACTAGCATATATTTCCTCAGAGAAGCTGTGTTGACCAGAAAAGATGCAGCAATATTGGTAAGATTAATGCAAATTCTCTCTCATACCTGGAACAAGGAGAAGCTTGGCTTAATAGCAAAATCTGAGCACATGTTCAAGTTATGAGGTGGAATCTAAACATCATGTTGAATTTAAAGAGATTACAACATAGTACTGTAATGTTTTGTTTTCAAAGAAACAATAGGTATGAGTATTGTTAAATAGCTCTGCTTCCCTATATCTTATAACACACAAATCATAGATAAGACTTGAAACATTTCTACCGGAAGAGAATATTACCAGGTTTCAGGGAGGTGTCCTGCTTATTTTTAATGCGTTCCTGGATCCAGCTGTTTCTTATGCACCACACTTGAAATTCCAGTGTCATGGGTGATCGCCTACAGTCCACTTAGCTGCTAATAAACTTGATGCCAGAAATATATGCAAACACTTTAAAAAAAAATGTTGGTTGAGTGAATTAGGATGAGTTTATATTATGATTACATATAACAATCAAACCCTGCCTATAAATTGTGGACTTCAATATGTGATGTGTGGTGAATTAAGCTACTGCTGTATTTTCTCCTAGGGTAGATGAACAGTTCCCTTTCAACCCAACCTTATGTATCTTGGTTTACATTTCTGTCCTTTTCTGTCACTTACCTTGTTACCATTAGATTTTATCTGGACACTTTATCTTCTGGATTCTTCAACTCTTAAGTCAAGGTGGGTTATCTTTTGAAAAGATAATGCTCTCGTTCAACCAGAAGTTATGGGCTTGATGCAGAAATTATGTGAGGGAGGATCTTTTCTCTGTGTTGTACATGAGGTCAGACTCGGTGATCATAGTGATTCCATCTGGCCTTAAAAACTGAGTCTAAATTGGTGATTCAGATTTTGCAGCTGACATACATAGTCTCTCCTGAGTCTGGCCCACTGATTACTGTAGCAGTATAGCTTGGATACAACAGTCCATTATTCACCATACCTGAGAATAGGAGGCTTTGGATTCCTCCTCCTTACTTTTTTTCCTTTCTCTCTACTTCTTCTCTGTCCTACCCATTTATAATGTGCTACTTCATAGAGAGTTTGCTGTGGATTAAAGTAAAACAAACAAAAAATCCAGCCAGACTCTTCTATTTCAAACCCCAAATGCTTAATTCTTAACTGACATGCTTGTGCTGTAACCATGCAACCTCTTATAGTAAATGTATCTTGATTGCTATATTTTCCTGTGCTCCTTTAAGCAAAGCAAAGCAGCAGTGAGGCTGAAAGAGGACATGAAAAAGATAGCAGCCCCGCCAGTGAACAATCCAAGAGACCATACCTGTCAGAAGGTGTTCGCTGTGAGTCTCCAGGACCTCCAGCAGCAAGGACTTACCAAGAATGGCCTCCCAGCAATCGTGTGGGATATAGTAGAATATTTGATCCAGCACGGTAAACTTAACACAGTCTCTTTCATGTAATAGTGTTATTGGTATAAGCCTCTTCAGATTCAGTTCCATTCTGGAACTCTTACTAGGTGAAGACACAATTGAGTGTTGCTGCTGACCTCTGACGTTAGATGTGGATAATCTACTACAGAACCCCAGTTCAAGTTCATGTTGAATTGAATACCCATCCAAGATAACTGGGCTAGCTGTTGGTCAGAATTGGCATTTTATGGGGGAGGCTAAGTTATTTCTGCAAGTGTTAAAATTAGGGATGTTAAATTTTGATTAATCAGCTAATCAAGTAGTCAATGAAATTTCCATCGACTACTCGATTAGTCGATAAGGGGTGGGGCGCTTGCTGTCCTGGCTGCACTTATGCTTTTTAAATGTAGTAAGACACAGCGGGGAGCCCAGGGCAAGTGGAGATTGCTTGAGTTTCCACTTGCCCAGGGTTCCCGGCTATGCCGCCGCCTCTCCCTTTGAAATGTGGCAAAAGCCCGCAGGGCAGGGCAGAGGCACAGCAGTTTAACCAGCACAGCAATGGCGGGAGGAGCAGGAGCTGGAGTTCGGGGGAGCCCGCTTAAAAGCAGGTTCCCCCCAGCATTGTCTTCCCGGGAGGAGCGGGGCGGTGGCAGCGGAGGCAGAGGTGCAGCGGGAAACGGCGCGAGCAGGGATTGAAGCAGTCCTTGCTTGTGCCAGTCTGACTGTTGTACCTCTGCGACTAGTTACTTAACATCCCTAGTTAAAATTTCTTCTTTTTTTCCCAAAGCCATCTAGCCTAGACCTTTTTTCAGAATGACTCTCTTGGAAGATAAGATGTTTTTTATCTGTATGAGAAATTGTTACTTTGCCCAACTTCTCTCACAGAAATGCCATTCATTACTGTTCTATTGTTTCCATTGTCTAGCAGATGACAGAATAGTGTTTTACATAACAATATTGTTTTCTCTGCACAGGTGTATTCTGCAAGTTGGGCCTTGTGTTTTAACAGTGTCTCTCTTTAAAATATTCCATCTATGTTTTTAACCCATTTAGTAGGCGGCGTCAACATTAAAGAGTAATTTTGCATATCTGTTTTGGAAGAATGCTAAGTTTTGGTTACTGAGGTGTGGTTTGTTTGTTTGTTTTTTAAATATACTGCCTTGTCAGTGTTGTGGAGGCCTATGTAAGGGTATGTCTAGACTACAGGCTTTTGTCGACAGAAGTTTTGTCGACAGATACGACAAAGAGCATCTAGACTACATTCAGTTCTGTCGACAAAGCAAGCTGCTTTGTCGACAAAACCCTGTAGTCTAGACACAACCCTAGATGCAATAACACCTTCTGTCGACAGAACTCTGTCGACAGAAGGCGTTATGCCTCGTAAAATGAGGTTTACCAGAGTTGACAAAACTGCTGAGTTCTGTCAACATTATGTCGACAGAACTCAGCAGTAGTGTAGACGCAGGTTTAGTTTTGTCGACAAAAGTCCACTTTTGTCGACAAAACCCTGTAGTCTAGACACACCCTATGTGTTTCAATCTAGGAATGTCCTAGGATTGTAATGAACTTTTCTTGCTTCCTCTGAGGAAAATACAGATTTCTTTTACTTACCTGAACAGATCCACTGGAGCAAATAAAGAACTGTTCACATAAATGTTACATAAGTCTTGGCAGGATCAAGACCTGACTGGACACCGATTAATGTATGTGGAAATTGCTTCCAGCCATTTGGGCCCAAATCCAGTGTGGTGTTGAATATTCAGAAGTTGTCCTGTTGTTATTAGACTTTTTCGATGTTTGATAGATACTTATAGGACATATAGGATCTGGTCTTTAATATTAATTATTATTTTATTCAGAGAATCCACAGGCTAATAGCTTTGTGATATTTGGGTGTCTTGGTTACTTACAGCATGGTACTGTTATCAATGGGGTGTGCTAACTGAAAGCAGAGTGCCTGCTGTTTTTACTTATGTTTAATATATAATTACAGGGCTGACACAGGAAGGTCTCTTCAGGGTGAATGGTAACATGAAAATGGTGGATCAATTGCGTCTGAAATATGACCGAGGGGAGGAAGTGGAGCTGGCTAAAGATGCTGATGTGTGCTCAGTAGCTAGTCTTCTGAAACTGTTTCTGAGGGAGCTGCCAGATGGAGTGATCACTTCTGCTTCACATCCCAGATTTATACAACTTTACCAGGGTGAGTACACATAAAATCCCTCAATAACCTTACCTGTAGTTCCTTTTTTGGGAACTAGCATTCCACAGCATTTCTTATTGTCTAGCTCTTTCCATTTTGGATTTCCAGTAGCATCAACCACCATCTCGTTCCAATGTATATGCCTGCACATGTACATGCATGCACACACTTTTAACAATTTGAGTAGAAAACATAGTTGTATAAGAGAACAATTACGTTATTAGATGGAAAATGCTTTCTTCCATAAACATGAAAACCTGCACTATTTGATTTATTTGTGTAATTTACGAACACTTTCTTTGCACAATACAGTTTAATAATGAAGCTGTGGAAGCACCTCAATGGTTAAGGTTGCTACCCTATTCCACAATAAGTCCTAATTTTAGTTCTGTTATAGCATTGCCAGGAAAGCTAGAATCTGATGGATGTCTGAAAGCTAAGAAGAATTATTCTGTAAATATTGAAGTGTGAATGAACTTTTATCTGTAATACATACAGGTCATTTACAAATTACCCTGATCTGAAATGTTGACTTTTGCCAAGGGTTTTACCTTAGCTCATTTGTTTTTGTATCTGTGTTTTTGAAGCTGAAGGATCAGAGTCCTTGAGTCTAGTCCCCTGCCCTCACGGCGGGACTAAGTGCCATCCCTGACAGATTTGCCCCAGATCCCAAAATGGCCCCCTCAAGGATTGAACTCACAACCCTGGGTTTAGCAGGCCAATGCTCAAACCACTGAGCTATCTCTGCAAATGTAAATGGGGGTTGACCCCTTCATCAAAGTATTTCAAATCCTCTATTGTAATAATACAGGCCCGACTATTATTGGCTATTGCTGTTTGTTTCTTCAGCATTGTTTGACTTGTATTTTTATTTTGATTAATATCAAGGTTAGCTAGGAACTAGAAGAACAACTTGTCTGTCTAAATGCACAAGATACTTATCAACCAATAATAGTACTTGAAGCTGCATTTCATTTTGAAGAAATAATAACAGTAAGGAGGCAAAGTTGTATAGAGGGAGAATAAATACTGCTTTATGAAGTGAATTATGAGACTCATTTCTACATCATGTTCCTGGGTTGGGTACTTTATCCCTGCCCTGAGCTACTTGATCACATTATTCTAGAAGCTGGTCTTTATGGTATTTCTTTTTATTGACTTAAACAAGGTGTGATCTGTTGCACTAAGGCAGGGCCACATCTTAAATATGTCACTGTATCTGATAAATGAGCTGACATAGATATATTTTTAGGATGGTGTATAAGTGAATAAAAGATTACTTCAAAATTCTCCACTCCCCATTAGCCATAATGGCAATTATAAAACTTTACTCGTTTCCCATGACTGAACAGAACTAAGTGCCACGCAATGAGTTATGTGGCAAAAGGGATTAAGTAGGCTGGCAAAAAAGAGGTTGCATTAGATCAGGGCTGCTCAACTTTGGAAGCCCCAGGGGCCACAGTGATACTCACAGCCTGTGCCAAGGGACACAACTTAAGTGTGGTTGCGTACACATTTAAATATATATGCAAATAGCTGCTTTCACACTGACTGGCATGAATACGATTAAGGCAAGACTACACAACAGGCGGGCCCCATTTAAGTAATTTTTGCTGATATTAATAAAATGGTATATTTACCCCATTTCCACCCATATGACAGCACTTTTAATGAGCAATGTGTGGAATAAAATATATTAAAACAAGACACCTGTGACAAGTTGCTGTGAGGTACCCTTACTGACTACAAAGGTAGGGAATTAGCCTTCTTCCACTGGAGGAAAGTAGAAGCCCCAAAGCCGGCTGACACAGCCCAACCTGCTGCTGCTGATGAAGTGGGGGAAGCGCCTGCCACTCGCACCAGGACATCCTGCCTGGCCTGGCAGAGCCCGGCTCAGCCCAACCTGCTGCCTGCCCCATGGGACCAACATAGGGAGCGCTGCTCTTACCATGGCAGCAGCACTCCTCCACGTGTATCTCGAGGGGGGAGTGGGAGTTTGCTTCACCTCCCTGCCTGCTGGCTGGAGCTGCTTGTGCACCCTGAGTCATGGCTGTGGCCAACCGCAAGGCTGCAGCGGCAACGTGGGCTCCTCTCTACACGGAGAAGGGAGAGTGAGCTCCTGCCATGGACCCCGCACTGTGAGACCCTCTGCCCAAATCAGGCCACGGGCCGCAAACAAAGGGGCCACGTGTTGAGTATCCTTGCATTAGATGATTAGCTAATGCTTACTGCTCATTCAGAGAAACCCAATGAGTGCGTCTAGACTGGCAAGATTTTGCGCAAAAGCAGCTGCGAGAATTTGCGCAAGAACTGTGACATTCTACTGTCCAAAATCAGTGCTTCTTGCGCAAATACTCTGACGCTCCCGTTCAGGAAAAAGCCCTCTTGTGCAAAAAAAAAGCCCTAGTGGCCATTTGGAGGCTCCGTAGCTGCAAGCAGCTCCCGGACTTCCTGGTAACCAGAGACCCCTTAAAGGCAGACGCAGCCTGCTAAGCCCACGAGCCAGAAGCCCTTCTGGGCCCTCTGGCCAGAGCTGTGCCACACGGCCTCTGCTGTCCCCAATGCCACCCGGAGCAGGATGGCAGCTCCAGGGGGGGAGCAACAGGAGGCGCCAAGGATCCAAAAAAGAAGGGCCCCATCCTGGTCCTCGGGGGAGCTGGAGGCACTGCTGGACCTGTGGCAGGAGGAGGAGGCCCTGCATGACACCCGCTCCCGGCGCCGCAATGCAGACATTTTTGCTCACATGGCCCAGGCGCTCGCCCAGCAGGAAAATCCAGCCCAGACCCTGGAGCAAGTCCGGGCAAAAGTAAAAGCTGCGCCTGGGCTATGTCCGGGCCAGCAAGGGCCAGGGGGCAGGAGCCGACACCTGCCCCCACTACCAACGGCTCCACCGCATCCTGGGCCAGCCAGCACCGCTGGGACACCAGAGTGTTTCTTCCTCCCCCCCATCACCAGGACCACCGTGGGGGAAGGAGACCGCAGCAGTGGGTCGGAGGACGAGGCCAGCACTGCCACCCTGCAGGCCCCCTCCGGCAACCCCGATGTCTTCTGTGCGTCCTCGGAGGCCAGGGAGGGATCCACCGGTGAGTGTTGCACTTTGCACTCACAAGGGCGGAGGGGGGAGCCAGGCACCTGGAGGGGGGAGGGGGAGACCACATCACTCTGGCCACGTGAGCTGCATGGGCTGTGTAGCATTAGGCAGTGTGCAGCACGTGCAATCATGTGGCTGCGGCAGGCAGCTCCAGGGCACGCCTGGGACTGTGCTGCTCTCACACATCCAGCGGGACTGGGGGGAAGGGTGGATGCCGGCTGGAACCAGCCAGGGCCCCAGAGACTCAGGCCAGAGCCCGCACCTCTGCCAGGGTGCAGCATGCAGAACGGCACACTGTCCCGTGCCTGGCTGTGAGGCACAGCCAGCTGCTCCTGGGAAAACTGCAGCGTCACAGCCCGTGAGCATGGCCCCCACTGAGCCCCTCACCTGCTCCTGGTGCCTTGGCTGGCCCCCCGAGGGAAGTCCCCACTGTGGCCAGACATGTCCCTGGGCTATGTGTGCGAGGGCTAGTGGGAGGGGGAGGGGAGAAGTGCTCGGCCCGGCCCTAGGGCCACCTGAGTTTTGCTGCAAGGATGGGACACTCCCCAGTCACTCTCCTGGTTCCGTCCAGGAGATATCCCATGAGATGGGGATCTGAGAGCCCAGACCATGTCTGCCAGATGTGCTCCCAGGCACTGTGTGGGGATTCATCTCGCTCCCTGTCAAACACCATTGATTAGCCCAAAGCCTCACAGCCTCCACTGGCAGGGAGTTCCACAGGTTAACACAACACAAGTGCCCTCCTACCCTCCATGGGGCCAGGACACAGACCAGTGGTTACAGTACATGGAGGAGGACCCTACTCTAGGGGTGGTCCTGTATGCAACGTACAACATGGGGGAGAGGAGGGTAACCGAGTGGGCCCAAGCCACACTACTGTGGTGTCACCTGGGCTCAGGGGTGGAGGGCATGAGGGGTGGGGACAGTGGCTGGGCTTCCTGACTGACCCGTCCTTTCTTCTGTTCCCTACAGTGGGACCAAGCACAAGCTGGGGACCCTCCAGCCCTGTGGCGGCAGCACCACCAACCACCCAGGCACCAGTCCAGCGGGCCAGGCAGCAGGACCAGCTCCTTTGGCAGCACGTCCAGGCTGTTGAAAGGATCGAGAAGGCAGTCAGCAGAAAGATTGAGGCTGACCTGGAGTGGCAGCAGCAGGTGTGAGGCAGTTCCTGCAGATTGCAGTCCACATTGGCCATGCCATCCACTATGGCATAGCCTTGCCCCATACCCCTGCCATCCCTCCCCTAGCACTGCCCCTGCCCCCTCCTGCAATGGCCCCTGCCCCCATCCTGCCCACCTCCCTGTGCTGCCTGCCCTGACGCAGCCTGCCCCCCATGTGCAGGTCCGCCCCCACACAAGCAGTCACGGGCCAACCCTCCCAGGAGTAGCTCCTCCCCCTCCCAGTTGAAGGTCTCTTCCCCCTCCCATCCTAGATCTCCTCATTGTAAATAAAAACTTACAAGTTTGTGTTAAACAACAAACAAAGTGTTTGTTTTTTTTTAATTGGGAAGAAAGGGGAGGGGGAAGGTTAGGAGATGGGAGGGAGTTGTAAAGGGAGACCGAGGTGACCCTACTATGGGGCCTGGGAGAACATGTCCGTCAGGGCCTCCCGGATGCACACCCCATCCTGGTGCAGATGACAGCTGTGCAGGTCTGTTCATAGGCCTGGTCCTCACTTGCCATCCATGCAGGGAGGAATTCCTCTGCCCTCCACTTCACAAGATTGTGGAGCACGCAGCACGCGGTCACTACCTCCGGGACATTCCGCTCACCCGTCTCGAGACAGGTGAGCAAACAACGTAAGCGGGCTTTCAAGCGGCGGATGGCGCACTCCACTGGGTTGCAGGCCCGGTTGAGGCGGTTGTTGAACTGGGCCTGGTTCTGGTCCGGCCACCCCATGTTGGGCCACT